GGTCTCCCATGCAGGTACAGGGCCCAAGCACTTGGGCCATCCTCCACTGTACTCCCGGGCCACAGCAGAGAACTGGACTGGAAGAGGAGCAGCCGGGACTAGAACCCGGTGCCCATATGGGATTAGCCAAGTGAGCCACGGCACCGGCCCCAGTGTACGATACATTTCAAATCAAGTTTTATGTTTATTGTATGGCTAATATTATGGTTCATTTTTTTCCATATGGATAATGAGTTGTCCAATAGCATCCAAGTACTATCCCTTTCCCATTGGCATCTGACATTTTTGACCATATATTTTTGGGCCTATTTCTCAACTGTATTCCATGGATCTATATGTCTACCCTGATAGCATATCACATTGTAATGACTAGTGTATCCTTATAGTATGTCATGAAATCAAGCACTGCTCTAACATTTCTCTCCTTTAAAACAAAACAAAGATTTTTGCTATTCTAGGACTTTACATTTCCACATACACTTTAAAATCAGTCAATTCCTATGGAGATTACTGCTTGAATTTTCATTGGGATTTCATTGATTTTATAGATCTTTTGGAAGAGAATTCACATCTCCCTGAGTTTTCTTATCCATTAACATAGAACACATCTCTGTTTATTTAGATGTTTAATTTTTTCTAAATTTTTTTCAGTGTTATATATTGTACATAGTCTTTTTTTTTTTTTATTTGACAGCTAGAGTTATAGACAGTGAGAAGGATAGACAGAGAGAAAGGTCTTATTTCCATTGGTTCACTCCCCAAATGGCCACCACGGCCAGCACTATGCTGATCCGAAGCTAGGAGCCAGGTGCTTCCTCCTGGTCTCCCATGTGGGTGCAGGGACCCAAGCACCTGGGCCATCCTCCGCTACTATCCCAGGCCACAGCAGAGGGCTGGACTGGAAGAGGAGCAACTGGGATTAGAACCTGGCACCCATATGGGATGTCGGCGCCACAGGCAGAGGATTAACCAAGTGAGCCACGGCACTGGCCCCCGGTACGTAGTCTTTAAAAATTTGTCCTTGGGCCAACGCTGTGGCACAGTGGGTTAATCGCAGCTCCGGCCATTGAGGCCATTTGGGGAGTGGACCAGCGGAAGGAAGACCTTTCTCTCTGACTCTCCCTCTCACTGTCTATAACTCTACCTCTCAAATAAATGAATAAAATCTTTAAAAAAATTTAATCCAAAAATATTCCATATTTTTCCATGCGAATGATTTTTTAAAATTTTAAAGCTATATTTATTCATTTATTTAATAAATATACATTTCCAAGGTGCAACTTTTGGATTATAGCAGCTTTTTCCCCCCATAACCTCCCTCCCACTCACAACCATCCCATTTCCTGCTCCCTCTCCCATCCCATTCATATCAAGATTCATATTCAAGGCCGGCGCCGCAGCTCACTAGGCTAATCCTCCCGCCTTACGGTGCCAGCACACCAGGTTCTAGTCCTGGTCGGGGCGCCGGATTCTGTCCCGGTTGCCCCTCTTCCAGGCCAGCTCTCTGCTGTGGCCTGGGAGTGCAGTGGAGGATGGCCCAAGTGCTTGGGTCCTGCACCCCATGGGAGACCAGGAGAAGTACCTGGCTCCTGCCATCATCCGGCCACGGCAGCCATTGGAGGGTGAACCAACGGCAAAGGAAGACCTTTCTCTCTGTCTCTCTCTCTCACTGTCCACTCTGCCTGTCAAAAAAAAAAAAAAAAGATTCATATTTGATTATTCTTTATATGCAGAAGATCAATTTAGTATATACTAAGTAAAGATTTCGACAGTTTGCACCTACACAGAAACACAAAATATAAAGTACTGTTTGAATACTAGTTTTGCCGTTAGTGAATGTGATTGACATTCATTTTTATCTTTCTTTTTTTAAGTTTTATTTATTTATTTTGAAAGTCTGAATTACAGAGCGATATGGGAGGACAAAGAGGGACACCTTCCATCCACTGGTTCACTTCTCTGATGGCCACAATGGCCAGCGCTGGCAGGTTGAAGCCAGGAGGCAGGAACTTCTTCTTGGTCTCCCACATGAATGGCAAGGGCCCAAACACTTGAGCCATTTTCTGTTGCTTTTGCAAGGCAATTAGCAGGAAGCTGGATCAGTAAATGGAGCAGCCAGGACGCGAACCAGCGTCAGTGTAGGATGCTAGCATTACAGGCAGCAACTTTACATACTATACCACAGACTGGCCCTTGTGTTTAACTTTCAATTTCAAAAAGTTTGTGGCTAGTATGTAGAAAAACAGTTGATTTAAATATAGTGACCTTATATCCTATGTCCTTGCCAAATGCACTTACTACTTTTAGTATATTTTTGAAGGATTCTTTAGAATTTTCTGCATACATAATCATATGATTTGTGAATAAAGACCTAATAATCTCATCTTTATGCCTCTAATTTGTAATAAAACCCAAAAGATCTCTCCTTGCCTTTAGCTCATCCATGAGGTTCTGTTTGCTTGATTCCTATAAAACATCAACTCTTAGGCATTTTAAAACTCAAAAACAGAGATATGAGGGTTAATATGTGAAAAGTTTCTTTGTTATTGTTGATTTTTATTTTCAAAATTTCTTAGGTATGACACTTGGCATATTCAATTGTAGTTTTTGTTCTGTTTTCCTCTCTTATTTCTTCCAACTGAACACTATTTTCCTACATTAATCATTTTTAGGTCCTTAGGGCCTACCAGTACCTTATACTCAAAAATTGTTTGATTAATATTTATTGAATAAAGGAATGATACAATTAAGACTTATTTAGAATGCCTTTAGTGATATCCTAAAGAAATTAATAAGAAGTTTGTTTTCTTTTGCCCCAGTGTTTTCATTCAAACTATATCATCTATGGGCAGGAATCTCTGTCTAGCCTTTCTCTCATTCATTCAGTGGGTATTTCCTGAACTTCATTTTTTTTTGACAGGCAGAGTGGACATGAGAGAGAGAGACAGAGAGAAAGGTCTTCCTTTTGCCATTGGTTCACCCTCCAATGGCCACCGCGGCCGGTGCACCGTGCTGATCCGAAGGCAGGAGCCAGGTGCTTCTCCTGGTCTCCCATGAGGTACAGGGCCCAAGCACCTGGGCCATCCTCCACTGCACTCCCAGGCCACAGCAGAGAGCTGGCCTGGAAGAGGGGCAACTGGGACAGAATCCAGCTCCCCGACTGGGACTAGAACCCGGTGTGCCGGTGCCGCTAGGCGGAGGATTAGCCTAGTGAGCCGCGGCGCCAGCGAATGAACTTAATTTTCTAATCCCTTTTAAAAGCATGTTTTAACTGTAATATTACTAGGATCCCCCCCCCCCCATTTAACAATCAGTGAGCTCATTGAAACTTTGCAGATTTTTCCATTTGAGAGTAATGCTTGTCCCGTTTTCTTCATTCTTTGCCTACTTATTTTGGAATCCTTGGACAGTAATTTACACATTGTTGGAACCAGTAACATTTTGACACAGGCGGTGCTAAGGTGTTGGTGGTGTTGAACTAGCAACACGGGCTCCCTGCTTTCACTGCTGCCAGCGGGTTTAGGAGGCACAGGAACACAGAGTTCTTCCAGCACTTAGCTTCCTTTCAGCTGGTTTGTGGCCAGCTTTCTAAAATAAGCTGTGGCTAAAGCTAGGAAGGCTTTTTAAAAGGCCTTTAGTGGGATTATCCTACAAGGCCACCGGATGGGTCTGTGCTGTGAAAGGAGAGAATCCGTGCTGTGAAATGGCCATTCTACCTGTAGTGGATGTGTCCATGTGTCCACTTGTCCTGAGCTCATGAAATCCCAAGAGCATCACCATCTCACCGCAAACCTTCATTGCTTGCAAGAAGTCCAGTTTCTAATTATTTAGGGTACTCTTGCCAAGATGTTCCTGATTCCCCAGAGTTCTTACCTGAGTCCAGATCTCAGTCTCTATTGTGGCTTGTTGGTTTGGGGACTCAGCCACACTTCATGTCCTCAGACCTGACAGGTGGGCAGGGGTGGCGCTCTACTTACTGTCTTGCCTATTGCAGTCACCTTTGTGGTGGAGATGGAAGTGAGTGTGAAGTATTAGGAGTGCTTCCTTTTGGTGGTGTTTTTTCTGAGTGATAGAGGTGTCCCAAACCAAGGTTATCTGAGTCCTACTGTTACAGCAATTTATTATGAGTGAATTTTTATTATTTGTTTTTTATTAGTTATTAGTTCTCTCAGGAATTATCAGGCTTTGGGAGGAGCAAAGGATTCCACTGTTGACAAAAAACTACAGAAAATATTATTTATAAATAAATTTACCCAATGCTGTATTTTTATAAGCATTACTTTAAATGACTTCCTAGTATACTACTGAAAGGTAATATTTCAATTTACTTAACTATTATCCAACTTTTTGTCCATATAGATTGTTTCTTGGTTTTGCTATTATGTAGGCGGGAAATGGAAAAAGTTCATGGAAAATGCATATTTTCAAAAAGCTATGCATGGATTAAAATTTTTTTCACCAAAATAACTCATCTTCAGTTCCACCTTCCAATGAATTTTGAGATGCCTGCATATGATGTTTTACTGAGTCATTAGACGTTAAGCTTTGCCATAGTTAAAATCATTTCTCTGAGTAGACTCCTAGGACTAGAATGTATATCTTCAAGGTATGTGAATATTTTTTGGTTTCTTGAGGCAGATCAGTCAATTTAAAAAAAAAATGCATGCAGAGAGGGAAACAGCTTCCTACTTATTAAAATACAGGTATCATTGTCCGCTAATATTTAAGCATGTAAAAAATGGCACCAAAGGCCAGATTGTTATTTTAGTGAGAAAAATAGACTGGAGAAAATATTATTGCCTTCTAGAGAATATAAATCAGGCTGTGGTTTGCAGGCCATACTGATCTCTCACTTTGAGACCCCTCCCTAGGATATTTTAGGGGCTGTGTTATGGCTAAAAACAAATGGAACAAACCTCAGCATATCCCTTTCTTCTGGGAAGGTGGGTCCATCAACCTCCCTGTGCTAGATAAATGCCAGTCACCTGCTTAACTTCCAGCATCCACCAGCTGAGGAGCAAAGTGTCAGAGGAGCATGACGTCCTCAAGAAGAAAGAGATGGAATCAGGGCCCAAAGCGTCCCATGGCTATGGAGGTCGGTTTGGAGTAGAAAGAGACCGAATGGACAAGGTGAGTTGAAAGGGAAATATTGGCTTCAAAACAAAACGAAATGAAACAAAGGGGGCTGGCGCCGCAGGGGTGGGATAAGCCTCTGCCTGCAGCACCAGCATCCCATGTGGGTGCAGGTTTGAGTCCCGGCTGCTTCACTTCTAAACCAGCTCTCTGCTGATGGCCTGGGAAAGCAGTGGAAGTTGGTCCAGGTGCTTGGGCTCCTGCACACATGCAGGAGACCTGGAGGAAGCTCCTGGTTCCTGGATTTGGATCAGCCAAGCTCTGGCCATTGTGGCCATTTTGGGGAATGAACCAACAGATAGAAGACCTCTGTCTCTGTTTCTCCCTCTCTCTGTTTGTGGCTCTGCCTCTTAAATAAATAGATAAAATCTTTAAAAAAATAAAACAAAAAATCTAAAGATAGATCAACTCATTTATTGGTTTTATGTTTTTAAATATTTATGTGTTTATTTATTTATTTGAAAGGCAGAGATAGAGAGAGGGAAAGAGAGAGAGAGATTTTCCACCACCTGGTTCACTCTCCAAATGGCCATAAAGGCCAGGGCTGGGCCTGGCTGAAGCCAGGTGGCAGAGGCCCAAGGACTTGGTCCATCTGCTGCTGCTTTCCTAGGCACATTAGCAGGGAGCTGGATTGAAGTGGAGAAATGACTAGGACTGGCATTCTTGTGAAATACAGGCGGGGGCATAACCTGCAGAGCCTCAATACCAGCTCAGGTTCTATTTGCTTGTTTTATATTTATATAAAAAGTGGAACCACAGAGCAGAAGAGAGAGAGATCATCCATCGCTGGTTCACTCCCCAAAGGTCCACTGAAGCCTAGAACCAGGAAGTCCATCCAAGTCTCCCAACTGAAGCCACCATATATGCTGCTTCCCAAGCGCATTATCAGGAAGCTAGATCGGAAGTGGGGTAGTCGGGACTAGAACCACCACTGACATGGAACGCAGTCATCCCAAGCAGCAGCTTAACCCACTGTGCCACAGTCACCACCCCTGGCTTTATGGTTTAAAACATGTTCAAAAAGTACAGTGTTCATTTAGGGTCTGAAAGAGAACGTCCGCACATATTTGTATCATTTTTTTTTTTCTGTTTAGATGGCAGAAAATGAAAGGCAAAACTGGAGATCAGCTGGTCTCCTGTAGCCCCTGTTACACTGCCACCTGTAGCCCGAGGAGACTGGAAGCACAAGTAGAAAAAGGAAAAACATGTTTTAAATCACCCCTCATTTTCAAATGTTTGTGAAGTATATCTGTGGTGCATCCTCACTGATTATACTGTTGTCTACAACTTCAGAGTTCACTTCTGAGCTCCGGTGGCCAGGAGCACAGATCTAGAACTAAAGCACCCGGCTGAGTTCCTGCAGTATTAGTCCCAGCTGTGGAATGCAGCCAGTCCTCTTTGATCTCTTCCTCAGAGGAGCCTCCTTTCCACTTTGAAGCCTTTGTTTTGCTCTTTTGTTCTGATTTCTACGCTGCAGTGTGTACCTGGTCTCCTTGTCTGGCTCCTAGCCCACACTCTGGGAGCTGTCGGAGTGGCGGCTTCCTGGTGGTATTAAAACAGAGTCAGCCATGTGCAAAGCTCTGGAAAAAGTCTTCTTGCTCTCCCATCACATGTCCCTTGGCATCACTGCCAGAGGCTACAGGGCTGACTCAAATGGAATTTCTTGTGTCCTTATGCAATGCCACTCCATCTCTGTACCTATTTTTCAAGGTCATGTTGACCTGGTCACTTACTCCATCCTTGGTTTTTCTCAGAGTGCGGTGGGCCATGAGTATGTGGCTGAGGTGGAGAAACACTCTTCTCAGACTGATGCTGCCAAAGGCTTTGGGGGCAAATACGGAGTTGAGAGGGACAGGGCAGACAAGGTAAGTGACAAATCTGTCCTCGCAAACCCAGCTCAAATCATGCAGAACCTGCTAGCTCACCCTTGAATGTAGGCTGGTGGCTCTTTGGTGAAAGACAGGGAGAGGATGCTGCCAGGGCAAGGCATTGTCACTGCGAGAGACAGGGATAGATAGGAGCTCCCGTGACTGCCCTGGTCAGCCTCCATGTTGGAGACCACGTGCTGAGCTCAAAGGCATTTACCCCCATGAGGCGAAGCCCCCCAGACTCTGTTTAAATAAGTCCCGCAGCCACTGGTTTTTAATACCTGTATGTGTGAAAAGAGAAGAGAGAATTTCCAAAGTTCCTCTTTATTCTAATATCAAAATCTTATAAATATTTATGCCTTTTGGGAAAACACAGCCATCAGTTTGAATATTATTACCACAGCAGCAAATAACCAAGCAAGACAACCAATTAGAGCAACAAGATTTTAAGAAAGTAAAATTAGCTTTTCCCAAGGTTCAGCATCCATTTCTGAAGCATGGGTATTTGTAAAGTTTCCTTTGGACAAAAAAAAAAAAAAGTGGTTTTAAAAAGAAGAAACAGAGCAGTGTGATTACAGGATGATAGAGTGGACAGGAGAGGAAGATCAGTAACTTGCTGATGTTCTCACTTCCGCTTTTGAAGATCTAATTCTTTGAACCTGCTTTTGATGATGCAAAATGGGGCCTCCTCCCTGAGGCTGCACACAGAGAACGTCTTCACAGCTCACTGAGATTTTTTCTTTTTACCAGCAGTTGTTAATTAGGTGAGCCTTAATCCTTCATGCTAAGTGCTGGGATGTTAATGGGCTGCATTGAAGGGAAAATCAAAACATACTATAAAAGAAAGGCAAGTAAAGAAAGTTATTTTTATTAATTATAAACATGTCAACAGGTCTACACTTTGTAAATATTATTTATTTTATTTATTTGAGGGACAGAGACAACAGAGAGAGCTCCCATCCACTGGTCCACTCCCCAAATGCTGGCAATGACTGAGGCTGAGTCAGGCCATGGCCAGGAGCTCAGAATTCAGTGCAGCTCTCCCACATGGGTGGCAGGGATCCAAGTACTTGAGTCATCCCCTGCTACCTTCCAGGGTGCACATTAGCAGGGAGCTGGAATGAAGAGCAGAGTGGGACTAGAGACCAGGCACTCTGATGTGGGATGCAGGCATCCAAACCAGTGGCTTAGCTGCCAGATAAAATGCCTACCCCCAAAAGGTAATTTTTTAAAGGCAACAATGGAAGATGAACATATATGAATATTTCTCTGTAATCAGGATAGACTTTCCTGTTCCATCTGGGCTCCCTCTTGGCTGCCTGTGCTTAGCTGTTACATCTACTTCACCAGCCGTGAACGGAATCACCTAAACAACCAATGTGATGTAAATCAAGAAATAGTCCATACTACTAATTTTTTTTTTGACAGGCAGAGTGGACAGTGAGAGAAAGAGACAGAGAGAAAGGTCTTCCTTTTGCCGCTGGTTCACCCTCCAATGGCCACCACGGCCGGTGCGCTGCAGCCGGCGCACTGCGCTGATCCGATGGCAGGAGCCAGGTGCTTCTCCTGGTCTCCCATGGGGTGCAGGGCCCAAGCACTTGGGCCATCCTCCACTGCACTCCCTGGCCACAGCAGAGAGCTGGCCTGGAAGAGGGGCAACCAGGACAGAATCCGGCGCCCTGACCGGGACTAGAACCCGGTGTGCTGGCGCCGCTAGGTGGAGGATTAGCCTAGTGAGCTGCAGCGCCAGCCCTTACTACTAATTCTTAAGATGCAAAACCTAGACTTGTTTAGGAACGTAGCTCTACACACTGGTAGGCTCCAGTCAACTCATCCAGTTCTGGAGCTTGCTCGCGTGCAGACTCTCTCCAAAATCCATTTTTGAGTTTCTACTGTTCAGAAATGAAAGACAAGAAATACAGTGTAACTAGCCAGGAACAGACTAATACCTCTTGCAGAGACCTAAGGGCTTTATAGCTTACAAGACACTTTTCTAACTATTATCTCCATTTTAGTTTTGTGAAAGCACTAATTTAGCAAACGACCCAATGCAGACACTTTATATTCCTGTCCCTCTTAGCTGTTGTATTAGTCCAAATGAAGAGGAAGCATTTTACAATTGCACTAGGTGAGACAGCTGTGCCTCTCTTCATCTCATAATTTAAGACAGTAACACTAAGTTAGAGAGCTGTAGGTAGGGGAGGTGGAACTTAAATCTAGAACTGTGTCCTGAGCTTGCCGCTCCCTGCCTCCATACCACCTGTCGGAGTCCTCTTGGTTTTCATGCTTATACTCAGCCCTGGACCCTACAAACTACCTTTGGGGCTGGCCTGGGGGTCAGGGGGGTGGGATGGGCCAGGAAAGGGAAAACCTGTCAATTTGGACACTAACCAATTTCTTCTCTCCTCTGTAGTCAGCAGTTGGCTTTGATTATAAAGGAGAAGTGGAGAAACATACATCTCAGAAAGGCAAGGACCCTGCACTTCAGCCTCAGCAACCTGCCTGGCCACTATCCTGCCCAGTCTTAGCTTCCCAATAGCTGCCAGCAGCTGCCCTTAGTTCCAAGACCAAGCTCCCCACGACTTTATTTATGTTTTAGTCCAAGTTTGTCTTTGCTTCTTTCTCCTTCCTTGCCTTCTGTGAGATCGATCAAGGTTTCCTAGTCCTTTTTTCCCTAGTGATGGATTGGAAATAAGATATTCTACTCCTTTACTTTAGACAGTTATCCCTAACCTTTAACATGTACCTTTGACTTAAATTTAAAAGTAATCATTATCTCTTTCTAAATAATATAGGAATCATACAACATTTAAACTCCATTCTTTCTACCAGTCATTGATGTCTGGTATATTGGTTTTATTTTTTTTCAAGATTCATTTTATTTCTTTGAAAGACAGAGTACAGAGAGAGGTATAGACAGAGAGAGAGGTCTTCCATCTGCTGGTTCACCCCCGAGATGTCCGCAACGGCCAGAGCTGCGCTGATCCAAAGCCAAGAGCCAGGAGCTTCTTCTGGGTCTCCCACGTGGGTGCAGGGGCCCAAGGACTTGGGCCATCTTCCACTGCTTTCCCAGGCCATAGCAGAGAGCTGGATTGGAAGAGGAGCAGCCGGAACTAGAACCACCACGCATATGGGATGCTGGTGCTTCAGGCCAGGGCTTTAACCCACTGTACCACAGTGCCGGCCCCAAATTTTATCTTGTTTTTAAACAAAAATGAATCATTATTACCTAACTGTTATATCTTCTACCTCACAAGCCGTGAACAAAATCACCTATCTAACTTGACTAATACACTGACCAGTTTCCTAGCTTATGATTTTTTACAGGATTTCATTGTTTCTTCCTGACTTCTTACGTTTGTTTCTTTCTTGCTAACATATATCCTTTGGTAAGTCCTTTTTTTTTTTTTTTTTTTTTGACAGACAGAGTTAGACAGAGAGACAGAGAGAAAGGTCCTTCCATTGTTTCACCCCACAAATGACCACTACAGCCAGCGTGCTGTGCCGATCCGAAGCCAGGAGCCAGGTGCTTCCTCCTGGTCTCCCATGCGGGTGCAGGGCCCAAGGACTTGGACCATCCTCCACTGCACTCCCGGGCCACAGCAGAGAGCTAGACTGGAAGAGGAGCAACTGGGACAGAATCCGGTGCCCCAACCAGGACTAGAACCCGGGGTGCCGGCAGTGCAGGTGGAGGATTAGCCAAGTGAGCTGCAGCGCCAGCCACCTTTTATAAGTCTTTCAGTGGGTCTACAAAACAACTCCCAATCTTTGTACAATGCCTTTATTTTGCAACATTAATCATTGTTATTTTCCTTTTATCTCTTTGAAGATATTATCTCATTGTCTGACATTTCTCTCTCTCTCTTTTTAAGGATTTATTTATTTATTTATTTGAAAGACAGAGGTACAGAGAGAAGTAGGACCAAAGACAGAAGTCTTCCATCTGCTGGTTCACTCCCTAGATGGCCGCAGCAGCCAGAGCCATGCCGATCCAAAGTCAGGAGCCAGGAGCTTTTTCCAGGTCTCGCATGTGGGTGCAGGGACCCAAGGACTTGGGCCATCCTCTACTGCTCTCCCAGGTCATAGCAGAGAGCTGGATTGGAAGTAGAGCAGCCAGGTCTCTAACTGGTGCTCATATGAGATGCCAGCACTGCAGGCATCAGCTTTACCCGATACGCCATAGCACTAGCTCCAACATTTCTCTTGTAACAGTTTACTGGGGCCAGTGCCGTGGCTCACTTGGTTAATCCTCCGTCTGCAGCGCTGGCATCCCATATGGGCACTGGGTTCTAGTCCCGGCTGCCCCTACTCCAGTCCAGCTCTCTGCTGTGGCCCAGGAGGGCAGTGGAAGATGGCCCAAGTGCTTGGGCCCCTGCACCCATGTGGCAGACCAGGAAGAGGCACCTGGCTCCTGGCTTCGGATTGGTGCAGCACCGGCCGTGGCGGCCATTTGGGGAGTGAACCAACAGAAGGAAGACCTTTCTTTCTGTCTTTCTCTCCCATTGTCTGTAACTCTGTCAAATAAAAAAAAAAAAAATTTATTTATCATTCCTTTTAGGTAACATGTCTTGTCTCTTTTTTTATTATTATTATTAAAAGTCCACTTTTTGTCTCTGATACTCTGCGGTATCATCAGCATAATCTAGGTGTTGGGTTTATTTTTTATTATCCTCTGTGAAACTTAGTGATCCTCGTCAACCTCAGATATGACTTTTATTATGGAAAGTTCTTAAGCATGTTCTCTTGAGTGGCACCTTTCCTTCCCATTTATTCCTTCTTCTGGAACTCCCATTGGGTGTGTACTAAACCTTTCCTTCTCTTCTTAGGGTCTCTTAGTTTCTCTTCCTTATTTCTGTCTCTTCATTTCCTGGGCTGCATTCTGGGTTATTTCCTTGGATCCACATGAAACTAATTTTTCCTTCAGGTATGTTGACTTGCTGTTTAATCTGCTGATTAAATTTTTAACATGCTTTCAGATATTTTCATTTCCAGAAGTTCCTTTTGTTTCTATTGCAAATCTGCTCATTCTTTTCCCTTAATGACTCTGGCTTTAGTTATGATATCTCACTTCTTTAATCTCTTTATTTATTTTAATCTCTTTAATGATTTTAAGTATATTTATTCTATGTTTTGTTTCATATTTCTTATATTTGCAGTTCTTGGGGTGCCAATGCTTCTGTTTGATTAATCTTCTTTTCTTCATGTTATTCATTTCCTTGGTTTATAATTTTTGTTTGTGAACTTATTTCACTGGGGGAGAGGTGTTGTTTTCTTGGAATTTCGCATGTCGTAGGTTAAGTACCACTCACAGAGAAGTTTTGCCTCTACTTCTGGCTGAGTTCTAAAAGTCTCACTGGTAATGGGCTATTTTTTTCTTCATTGTTTTCCTTGTCCAGTTCAATTTCTTGTACTGATATAACTCTGCTCAGTCTCTCTATATTTTCCTAAGTCAGTTATTATATGCAGTAGTTTTCAAGGAATTCGTGCATTTCTTCTTTGTTGTCAAACTTATTGGCATAAATTGCTTTTTACTCTGTACAAGATTTATAGTGATATGATTTGCCCATTTACTTCTATTATTGTTAATTTGTGTTTTTCCTCTTTTCAATTGATTTTTATTACTAAAGTTTCAAAAATTTTATTATTTTCAAAGATCTAACCTTAGGCTTCACTAACTTTATTACCTATCTACTGAAAATTTATTATTTTTACAATTTTTTCCTTCTTCTTAATGTAGGTTTAGTTTGTTCTCTCTCTTCCTCTTTAAAGTAGAAACCCAGGTTGATTTCAAGCCTATATGTCCTTTCTAGGCACTTAAAACTATACATTTCCTTCTAAACACTACTTTTGCTGTATCAGGGGAACTTTCTTAATTTTATTAGTGTTGACTTTAATTTAATTCTGTTATCAGAATCTAATTTCTATTTCAGTCTTGAAATGTATTGAGATTTACTGTATGAACAAGTACATGGTCTATTTTTGTGAATGTTCTCTGTGTATGAAAAATTTATATTATGTAGTTTTTGGGTGCAGTATTCTGTAATACTCAGTTAGATCTTTTTTGTTAATAATGTTTGGATCTTTTTTAATTTTACTGATTTCTTTTTGTCTGAAATGTTCAATAATGCGAGAAGGGTGTTAAAATTTTCAAAAATGCTCACAAATGTATTTTAACCCCTACTTTTGTGAGTTTTTGCTTGATGCATTTTTACTTTATTAATGGGCTTATATCAGTATACATAGTCCTGAAGAATGACACATTGTGCTTTCACCGTTGCGTTATGTCCTTCTTATCTGTTACAATGTGCTTTACCTTGAGGTCTGCTTTGTTTTATAGTCATGCCATCTTTCTTGTGTTTATTCCTTCCATGGCATATATTTTCCTGGATCATTATTTATGTTATTTCTCAGCTTGGTATTCCTGTGGCATGTAGTAGTAAAAAAATGTATATTCATATTCCACACTCAGGTGTAGGCCTAAATTTCCAAATCTCATAGATAAGCTTCTCCCTTTATTAAACACTGAATTGCCTATAAGCCCTCTCACCATTTTCTTGGAAAGATAGAATTTTTCTCAACTTCCTTTGTATAAGAGGACAGACCTTCATTTCTGGCTTCCTCCCTCCCTACTCCATTCTGGTATAGAAAATAGCGCCCGCTTGCATAGCATGTAAAGCCACCGCCTGCAGTGCCAGTATCCCATATGGGTGCTGGCTTCAGATCTGGCTGCTCCACTTCCAATCCAGCTCTCTGCTATGGTCTGGGAAAGCAATAGAAGATGGCCCAAGTCCTTGGGCCCTTGCATGCACCTGGAAGACCCGGAAGAAGCTCCTGGCTCCTGGCTTTGGATTGGCACAGCTCTGGCCGTTGTGGCCAACTGGGGAGTGAATCAGCGGATGGAAGACCTCTCTCTCTCTGTGTCTCTCTGCCTCTCCTCTCTCTGTGTAACTCTGACTTTCAAGTAAAATAAATAAATCTTTTTTTTTTTTTAAAGAAGGAAATGGAGCCCTGGACCACAGATCCTAAACCCTAGTCATTAAATTTGAACTTAAAATACCCTTGGGTTTCTGTAGTGTCAGCTCATACACTCAGCTTTGACTCATCTGTTTGTTTCTGGGGCTGGGACTCTTTTCTTGTTCTATTCTTCTGAGCTTCACTAGAGCCAAAAAATCGTTATATTTTAGTTTGTATTTCTTTTTTTCCCTTTTTCTTTTCTTATTAACTGGCATGTCTGTTCAATTATATGGCAGTAGGGAAAGGCATACATTTCATATGTATCTGACATTTTTTTTCCTGGAAATGTCTCCACACTATATCCAACTCTTCATTTTTTTTTTTTTTAAGATTTATTGATTTATTTGAGAGACAGCGTTACAGAGAGAGGGAGGGAGGGAGAGAGAGAGGTCTTCCATCCACTGGTTCACTCCCCAAAAGACTGCAACAGCCAGAGCTGGGCCAGTACGAAGCCAGGAGCTTCCTCCAGGTTGCCCACATGGGTGCAGGGGCCCAAGGACTTAATCTACCACACCACAGCACCAGCACCTTTGGCTCTTCCTGAAAGAAGGGGGAAAACTGAAATGACCTCATCTTGGGCTGTCACGGAGGGAGGAGAGGAAAAGAGTGAGCAGAGCTCAGCTAACTCACCTGTGCTTAAGTCCCGCTCTCTCCCCAGGCACCTCTCTCCCGGCATTCATTCCTTCTCACTTCGCTGTCCTCGCTCAGGGTCCTGTGGGCTGAGAGTGGGCTCTCACGGCTGCTCCTTCAACCCTAGATTACTCTCGTGGTTTTGGCGGCCGATTCGGGGTGGAGAAGGATAAACGGGACAAGGCAGCTCTGGGCTATGACTACAAGGGAGAGACGGAGAAACATGAGTCTCAGCGCGGTGAGTTGGGGTTGGGAGGAGGGTGGGCCGCAGCAGAGCAGAGATCCTCCTTCCTCCCTTTCTGGAAGACGACCCAGAGGCCACAGAACACAGAGAGGCGAGAGGCGGATGAGTAGTGGAAGTGCGTGCACGTGTATGAGGTGGGATGGCTGCCCTGGTGGAAGCCCCGGGGGTGGGGGGTGCTCGCCGCCAGCCAGGCTATGGGTGGCCAAGGGTGGTGTGATGTGACTGTGGCTTCAGGGTCCCTCTGCCACAGCCAGCACTGAGAATCTACTTCTTCCCTCGGTCATAAAGGGTGGCTGCCTTTCTTTCTTTACATTTCCCCCAACCCGTAACTTCTGTTTTCGTGTTTCCCTCTTGCCATCGTCTTCGTTCCAGCTTTTTTCCTCCTCTTGCTTTCCCTCCTCTTCCTGGCCATTGCTCTTGAGCCTCTGATTCCCACCCCCCACTCCCCCCACCGTGGCCTCCACGTCCCTCTCTTCTGGTCTGTCTGCTCCTTGCTCCCTCTCCCTCCCCTTTCCCAGCATGCTAATCTCCTGTTTTGACTCTCAGAGCTTTCTGTCCCGCAGATTATGCCAAGGGCTTTGGTGGCCAGTATGGGATCCAGAAGGACCGAGTGGATAAGGTAAAGCACCAGAATGCCGCTGCCTTGAGCAGAGTTCCCTGACCTAGGGGAGCGCACAGAGACAAGGCTGGGGGAAGGATGGGGTGGTGGTGCTGGGGCCTGGAGTCTGTGCTACCGGCATTGCTGCCTCCCTGATGACTTCCCTCAGCATCCCATGGGCGTGCCTTTCAGAGCCTCAGCTTTGCCTGACAAGAGTACAGGGAGGCAGGGAGAGGCAGAGAGAGATGAAGCCCAGGAAAGTGATGTTAGACTTGGAATTTCATGGCTCTTGGCATTGCTGAGCCCAATCCTTAGTCTCTCCCACCCCACATCACTGTGCTCTGTGAACATTAACCAGGGGCTCTGCTATATTTTAACAACTGGACTTGGAAACCTGAGATTCTAAGTACATTGAACTTTCCAAAAAGGGGAGCTGAGCCTACCAGTTTAGAACTTCTTTACCCCTCTTTCTGCCACAAAACAATATTAGGATACCATGTGCAACTGTTGAACACCAAATGGTCAGGAACACCTCCTACGGTGGTCCTATCCCCCAGTCCTGCCTTCTGGGTCTCTGACCTCTCCCCTCCCTCACACCACACATACTGTTTTCTACTTGCAGAGTGCTGTAGGTTTCAACGAAATGGAGGCCCCCACCACAGCTTATAAGAAGACGACACCCATAGAAGCTGGTGAGTCTTTGTGATCCCTTCTGTGTTCAACCCCCTCTCTTTTCATATCCTTGCTTCTTCCTAGACTGTTGCCTCCATGTCCTTTAACTACCCAGATTAGCTGACGTAGACTTGATCCCTACCCTCATGGTCTCTACTTCTCCGATTTTTGTCTCCTAGAAAAAACCAAGTCAATAGGACAGAGATAGACAGGCACTGGGAAAGGAAGTGGGGGTGGGATAGGGAACTACTTGGGAAGGCTGGATGGGGATAGGAGCTTGGGATGTGATGGAGGATGGGTGTTGGCCAAAGGGCATCCAGAGCTAAGGAATATTGTCAGGGAAGGATGTGGGTTAAGGCATCAAGGCTTATAATTTTTTTAGATTTATTTATTTATTTGAAAGAGTTATACAGGGAGAAGGAGAGGCAGAGAAAGAGAGATAGAGAGAGAGGAGGTCTTCCATCCACTAGTTCACTCCCCAATTGGCCACAACGGCTGGAGCTGCACTGATTTGAAGCCAGGAGCTTCCTCCGGGTCTTCCCACAAGGGTGCAGGGGCCCAAGGACTTGGGCCATCTTCTACTGCTTTCCCAGGCCATAGCAGAGAGCTGGATTGGAAGAGGAGCAGCAGAGACTTGAACTGGTGCCCATATAGGATGCTGGCACTGCAGGTGGCAGCTCTACCCGCTATGCCACAGCGCCGGCCCCAAGGCTTACAATTTGGAAAGGGCAATAACCTCTGGTCACATGGCCTAGCTGCATGGAAATCTAGGCTTCGGCTCCAGCCATCCTCTCTTAACCCCTTTATTCCCCCAGCAGCATCCCTTTCCTTCCCCTCCACGAGTCTCCTCATCTCATCTCCTGGCTATTGATTCCCTTTCCTTCAAGTACCACCCTTTCTCCCACCCCTAATCCAAGGCGACCCTATTTCTTCTTTTGTTTAAATATTTATTTTATTATTAGAAAGAGTTACAGAGAGAGGTAGAGACAGAGACAGAGAGAGTTCTTCCATCTGCTGGTTCACTCCTTAAAATGGCCACAACAGCTGGAGCTGAGCTGATCTGAAGCCAGGAGCCAAGAGCTGCCTCCGGGTCTCCCACATGGGTGCAGGGGCCCAAGGACTTGGGTCATCCTCTGCTGCTCTCCCAGGCACATTAGCAGGTAGCTGGATCAGAAGTGGAGCAGCCAGGACTCAAACCAGCACCCATATGGGGTGCCGGTGTTGCAGGCCAAGGCTTTAACTCACTGTGTCACAGCGCCAGCCCCTCTATTTCTTCTTGCTTGTGCCTGTAGCTTCCAGTGGTGCCCGTGGGCTGAAGGCAAAATTTGAGTCCATGGCTGAGGAGAAGAGAAAGCGGGAGGAAGAGGAGAAGGCACAGCAGATGGCCAGGCAGCAGCAGGAGCGGAAGGCTGTGGTCCAGATGAGTCGCGAGGCTCGACAGCCAGAGGTGCCCGTGGAGGAGCCAGCAGCACCACCAACCCCATTACCCAAGAAAATCTCTTCAGAGGTGAGTGCCTGGCCTCTGGAGTCCCCTCCAGGATCTCTTCCCTAGACAGGAGCCTTAGGGATCAAAATCACTGGCAGAAACTAGGGCCAAGAGACACCCTGTGTTGGGCAGTCTGCTACCCCTGTCTTCAGGAAGATGTAAGTTTGTGTAACTGGGCCTCCTTGACCAGCTGATGTAAAACAACAAAAGCTACGACAACATTTCCATAGTACACTAGCTGGCAGATCACCAACAAATACGCCCATCCTTGCTGCAGAGCTAAGAGGAGAGTCATGGCTTCAGGGCGGAGCACACACTGGACTGGCAGAGCAGGAGGCGTGCTCACGGTGGGTTGCAGAGTAAAGGTGGAGGCCTGCTGGCTAGACCATGCTTCATCCTCCACAGGCCTGGCCCCCAGCAGCGAGTCCTCCACAGTCAGAGCCTGAGCCTGCGAGAGCCAGCAGGGAGCGCCCAGCGCCTTCCCTCCCGGCAAGGCAGAATCCCCCAGAGGTAAGCAGGCCCCAGAGCTTCTCTGCCCCCAGCCCTGATGTCTTGGGGAGGTGGGCTGTTGTAAGCCACAGAGTGACCAACCATCACCGTGTGCCTGGGCTGGTTCTGCTATTGGCACGGGAAGTCCCCATTCTGGGACACTCCCCAGTCCTGAGCAAAGGAGCGCGGTTGGTTATCCCAGCAATGCGCTCTCGCCTGAGATTTCCAAGGCATCTGACTCACCTTCCACTTCCCTCCCCTCACACCTCCCTCGCTCCCCTCCCTGATTGGGTGTTTAGGGTGGGAGGTGAGGAACGCAGAGAAGGAGGGCCTGTGTTTTCGGAGAGGCTGTTTGGTGGAGGTGAGGCGAGAGGGAGAAAAACTGAGCTGGTGAAGGGTGGGTCCCCCCAGTCCTCCGCTGGGCGTCTACTGAGTCCTCCTGGTGAGTGGAACGCCCCCCCCCCCCCCGCTCCACCCTGTGTCTCCCCAGGACAACGAGGAGCCCCCAGCTCTGCCCCCTAGGACGCTAGAAGGCCTTGAGCTGGAGGAAGGGCCGGTGTATGAGGCGGAGCCCGTGTACGAGGCGGAGCCCGTGTATGAAGCGGAGCCTGTGGCCGAACCTGAGAACGACTATGAGGATGTTGAGGAGGCGCCCACGCACGAGCAGGACGAGGCAGAGGGGGACTACGAGGATGTTCTTGAGCCTGAGGATCCCCCTCATCCCCCGACCCCAGCTGGTGAGCAGTGGGGCGGAAGCACTTCCGGAATTGAGTGGCATGTAGGGGAGGGGCCGAGGGAGCGAATGTGTCCCCTGCTCACAGGATCTGTTGGCCCCATCCGTGTTGCTGAGACCGTGTTTGTATCTCTCCTCGCACAGGAGCATCAGGCTGCCCGGCTGGGGCTGGGGCTGCGGGGATCTCAGCCATAGCCCTGTACGATTACCAAGGAGGTAGGTTGGCAGGGGCCTGCTGCTGGGAGGTCCCTGACACAAGAGAGGGGAATGGATTCTGGGGATCAGGGAAGGATCCGGGCTTGGCATCAAGAAAAAGGCCAGGCCTGTTTCCCTCCCTGACGTTTGCAGGGGCAGGGGGGTGGAAGGGCTCCTGTCTGACAATGCTGATGTCTTCTCCACTGCCTCTGCAGAGGGAAGTGACGAACTCTCCTTCTACCCGGATGACATCATCACTGACATTGAGATGGTGGATGAGGGCTGGTGGCGGGGTCGTTGCCACGGCTACTTTGGACTCTTCCCTGCAAACTATGTCAAGCTCCTTTAGTGATTGGCCCTTTCCGTCTCCTGCACAGTGCAGCTTCCCATGTCCACTGTGGCTCTGCTCCAACCATCCCCATTCCTGCTGGAAGGGTCTAATGGGATGGCCCAGGTAGCCTAAGGGTCTGCACAGTCCCCTCTTCCACTTCATTCAGAGCTTGGGGCAGAGACACTAGGAGGAATGGGGTCTCCTGCACATCAGCGTCCTCTCTACCCTGGAGGAGCTCATAGACACTGCCTGTGGCACTGCCTCCTCCCCCATGATCGCCCCTCTAACAGCCTAAGTTCTGTTCTCCTCCACTGTGAGCTTGGGTTTTCCAGTTTGCTTAGCTGGAGTAGGTCTAGAGTGCCTGGTTGTGCTGTTTGCCCACTTTCCTTCCCTGCAGAGATATCTCTGGACCTCTGCTCAGTCCTAAAATTGGAAATAAAGTGGGACTATGGTTCACCTCTATGCTGAGGTCAATGTGGCCCTGACTTTCATGGCTCCAAATCTCCTTTCCTCTCCCTGGCATAGCCAGAAGCTTCCCTCTTTTTGCTGCCCAACCCCCTACAACTTGGATGTCAAGACCTAGGCCTTTTCCTTGGGTGACACTTTAAACCCAGTCCAGAACCAATCATCCTGGGGCATGGCAGTAAGCTAGGATCACAGGGGGCCAGGTGGCACCTACATCAAGGCATGTCAACGTCTACTGGCTCTAGCAGTTGTGGGGGGTCAGCTGCCTTCTGCCTGGAAGTAATAACTGACACTCTTTTAGGGCATGGTGATTCTTGAAGAAGCACAAATTGGGGGATAGGAAAGTCCTGGATGATTGAAATCGAAGGCCAGGAGAGGGTAGATGGAGGAAGTACACGCAGATTCTTTTGGTCCAGGGTGGAGGCAGATGGGAAAAAAGGAGAGGGAATTTGGATAGCCAATGATAGGAAAAACGTGAAAATCACCATGCAAAATATGAAGGTGAGGGAGAATAAGAAGCCAGAGAAGGTAGGCATACCCAGACCCGACCCATTGTGCTCAGCCTCAGCTGGGTCAGAGATAGGTGATCCTAGGACAGAATCAAAATAAAGGTCAGGGACTTGACATGGGGGACCTTTGGTTTATAGGACACAACAGCCTATGCTATTACAGTATTGAAGATGGGCCCAGGTTTCAAAGATGGAGAAGGCAGACTCAAGGAGAGCTGGGTTATTGGTGACTGAGACCCACAGGTGCTCCATGACTGCATAGAGCCAGTGAGCTGCCCGTGTCTCAAGACCACTGCTTCCCTCAGTCTTCTCCCTGGATTTTCTTCATGACACTCATCCCTAAGTTTTGACATGACTTCTGTGCCACTGATTTGTGAACCTGTGGTGTATAGATTCACATAGTTGACTTTTCGGAAAGCAAAGCAGCCTTTATTTCCTTTTATAGAGATGTTGGCATTTCCAGTAGGTAAAGTCACCATGGATGCACAAAATCTCTTTTACAGTACACATAAATTGGACTTTGATGATGGTTTTCCTGATACAGCTCCAAGTTCCACCTTGCTGTTCATTTGTCCTTTGATGATAAGATGGAAACTTCGCTCCCAGATCCCTTTGCTACCAAGGCAGCAGGGTGCCTTCTGCCTCCGTTGCACGGACTGATCCCCACTGTGGATGGTCTGTCTTGGTGGAGACAGTCATCAATGACGCTGCACGGAGACATCTCTCCTGCCAGGCTCCCACTCCTGCTACTCAGTCCCTCTTCCTGCTCCGGAGCTGCTGCTTAATCAGCACTCACTCCTGGCACTCTTGTAGCTGCCAGTCAGGCAACTCTGCTCACACGGTTCCCTCCAGCTTCACATTGCTGCTCTCCTCATGGCTGTGCCTGGCCCAGTTTCTCTGAAAGCCTTCTCTTCTGCTGCATCTGCCCCTCTCACCATTAAATGTGCTTGTGTCTATGGGCCAGGGGTTACCTTCAGCACCCTGGTTTCCTGTGATGCATACAACTATGTATCAAACTATGTGTTCGATGGTGTTGATCAATTCAATAAAGCTCAATTCAATAAAGCAGTTGGGGGTGCAAACGTGAAGCAGTCAGTATGCGTGCCCCAGCCCCCAGAGCAGTTGTGGGCAGTGTCTGACTGCTCTCCTGAACCTGGGCTGCTCCCACCCACCCAGCTTGTGAGGGGAAAGTCCTCTGGTTTCTCTTTCTCTATATAGCACCTTGCTTCTCACCCATCTAACTGTAGCCCTTGACATTCACGTCCATTGGTTCTGCAGCTCATCTTTCTCTCATTCTGTTATACAGTCCAGAGTGAACTTTAGGAATTTTCTACCTTTGTGTAGGAACACATGGAACTGATACCTAAAGAACTCTTTCCCACCTCAATATTTACTTATTTCCAGTTACTCATCTCCACTGAATAAAGTCCTAGATCATACTATAATTACATTTGTTAAAAGGTGTGCCTTATATACAAATGTGGAGTATAAACAAAATAATAAGGATTAGAAAAAATGCAATTACACTACCAAATAGTATCAAGTGGCACATTAGGAAAAAAAAAGATGAGCACATTTCTGGTCAGAGACTTGCTTGACTGCCTTCTTGATTCTTCTCAGTGGTATCGTGTACTCTCTCTGCATCAGCTGTGAGCTGTGTTCAGAGAGAGAGCCAGGCAGGAATGGCCAGATTGACTAGCCTTTCTTTTGCTGCCTAAATTCTTCTTTCTCTGCTTCCCTGCAATGCCTCTCCTCCATCCTCCGTTTTCTCTGTTTCTCATTTGCTTTAGAACTGCTAGGACTGCTGGGGAAATGGTACCAATTAAGGTAAAAGGGATATAAATACAAGATAAATAACTTTCCTGGCTTCAGGTATTCCCAGAGAGAGCTGAAAGCATACATTCTTACAAGTGGCCAAGGGGCCGGAAGCCATATTAAACAAGTTAAATCTAGTTCCCAGCTTAAAACCTTCACTTATCTAAACCCTATTTAGTAACTACAGAAGAGCAACACTAAATCAGAACTATGGATAGCTATGTGACATGATTTTGCTGTGTTGAGAAATCAGCATATCCTAACTTACTGTCACTGGTCTGAAATCCTTAGGAGACGTTATGCTCCTAGAGGACATTCAGGAAAGTCGGGAAAAATTTTGGGTTGTTATCATCATGGGGGTACTGCTGAAATCTAATTGGTAGAGGCCAAGGTTGGTAAATATTCTGCAATATACAGGACAGTCCCTAAGGCAAAGATTTATATAGTGCACCATGTCAAGAGTTCCCAGGTCAGAAAACCTTTCTTTAGGGGATACCTATTTCTATTGTATATTTTTAAATTTTTACTTATGATCTCATGGATACTCACTGTTCACCAAAAATAGCAGTATCACCCGTTTGTGACAGGCTGGAGGTAGGAACAGCAACAGAGAGCACAATCCCAGGGAACCATTAAGCTCACATGCTTCCTGTCCAAGACTCCCAGTGAGATCCCCAAGTTGTCTCCAGGACCTGGTGACAACACCACAGGTACTGCAGTGGGTCTTGTCTAGACTTTGCCAAATATATGGCCTCCTTGGTTAAGTCTGCACTCCAGCACTGACAGTGACGTTGGTATTAGTGTATTGAGGCCATTTTAGATAGCAGAGGTAGCTCATGACTATACCTGTGCTCTCTCTAACCGAGACCAAAATTCTCAAGTCATTACTAAAATTTTAAAAAGTAGGTTTGTGACTTTTCATCCTAATTTTCTCCCTAATGTAAGTATTGGGTCTCATTTTCAAGGCTTTCCTTCTATAGGTTGCCAAGATTCTATTCAATGGACTCTCTGACCTCATTTCTGCCCCTAATCCTTTGGCCTGTGTTGTCCTCAGGCTGCTGGGCTCAGCCAGGAGGCTGTGTTCTGTTGGGCTATATTGGGATTACCTGGGTTTAGAGGCAGTAGGGTAACTAAAAGAAGTCCTGGACTTAACTGTCAAAACAAACCCAGCTCCAGAAACTTCAAGCTGTGTGCCCCTCACCTTGGGTGCTCTAGGAGGTAGCTCTCTGCACCTAAGTCCCTGTCCCTGCATTGCTTTCCACATGAGTTTGAAAACTGTTTGTAAACTAAAAGCACACTGGTTATGGAATTTTATTGCTCTCTCATCACCTAAGGGCTTGGGTTCATCTTCCGAATGGCTTCAAGTTGCCTATTTTCTGCCCCAAACTGATCTATTTTAGAAAATAAAGGAAATAAGTCATCAATATGGCACTATAGGATAAGCCATAGCTTATGAAACTCTTAGGCCTGCTGAGTTTTGAAGGACATTGCGTGTTCCACTCAGATAAGCACATAAGCAGTTTACAAAGAGGGGTGTCTTCAAAACCATGCTCTGTCCTACTTTCAGTAACTCTGAGCGGAACTCCAAGAATGGTTGTGTCCAAATCCTTAGAACACTTGTCTTCCGCGAGGTCTGGCTCTGAAAGTGGAGACTAAACTCTTCCGGGGCTGCTCGCGGGGCCGACACATGCTGGTTAACTGAACGGGGTCAGTCCTGTGCTCTACGATGTTGAAAGGACAGGCTTTCAGGTGTTCAGACATGGAGATGACTTCATTAAACTCCCAGCTCTTGACTTTGGAGAAGAGGCTGCTGAACTGCCAGATCTGTCGAGAAGGATAGAAAGAAGCTCAGAGGTGAACTTCGTAGTGTAGAAGCCAGCCTGCAGGCGCTACCCAAAGAAATGCCTCTCTGCTCTTCCTAGTCTCCGCTCCCAGAGTGTTGGGTGGCTGCTACAGACGTGTGTTAGTTCCTTCCCCAGCACGCAATCCCTAGCTCCCCTTCCAATTAATAATCTTCCCAACTAGCCATGTAGTTGTGTAGGAATGACTAACAGCGGTCAGCATTTGAGCATAACATTCCCTGCTCCCTGAGCAGCAACAGTGATTAGTTCTAGCGTAGCTACTCAGGTCAAATAGGACCTACAAGAGCACCCCAGAACTTGGAGAAATTAAAAAAGAAGACTCTCTTTTTCCCTTTCTGGAGCCCTAGGTGCTTCAGCAGCTACCAGGGACCACCAAGAGAGAACTGTCTTAGAATGGAGCCATTGCTGAGGAAATAGAGATAAGAAATAGAAAAAGATCATTTGGATGCAATTTTTAAACTGCTAGATCAAACTTTACTTGAAGCAATTATGCTTGTATAAGCCAATAAATATCCATTGTTGTTCATGATACTTTAGGTTGGTATCTATTTATTGAAATTTGAAGTCCTCTCACTAATAAGGGTCTTCTACAACAGGCACCTGAGGGGAAGACCATGAGTCAGGTGCTCAATAAAACACTCTCTGGTTTTTCCACATGGGAAGTGATGGCAAAAACCACTGGTTGTCAAAGCTGTTTATGTGAGTGTAGGTGTAGCCCAATACCCTTTCAACCGCCTACTTCACATGAACCTCAGTTTCTTCTCATTACTCCTATAGAAGAAAATTATTTCCTGGAATCTTATACCTATTT